TGGTAGGTGGAACTGACTTTTGCGTCATTTGTGGACGAGTTGCTATGTTTCGTAGAACTTTACTCCATGCTCCAAGTGCTTCTCGGACTCCGAACTGATCCCCAATCGCTTCGATTTGTGACGTCCGTCGATCTGAATCACCGAAGAAACTAAACTGAGCGCCTGCCGAATGGATCAGCAGGAGGAGTGCGCACCACGTGCGCATCAAATCCTGAAATTTGGACGTACTAGTAATATCTAACGAGTAAGCAACAAGCTCAACAACACCACGACTAAATTCCTTGTGAATTCATAGAAAAAACATTAAATCGAAAACGTCAAGTGCAGATGAAGTATGGGAAAACATTAAATGAACGAATGAATGGGCGAGATGATTGTTCACTCTAAAAGCCGTATCCCTGCCTCTTGGTGATTCAGAAGATCGCTATCCATAAAACACAAAAAATACTGGACAAGAGAAAAATAACGGTGAATCAGCGGATGGAAACTCAGGAACTGGAAAGCATGCCTCAGTTCTTTGCAAAAATCTTTCAATCAGTTTTTCGAGGAATCAGCCTAGAAGTAAGTAATCACGAAGTAAAACACTGCCTCTCTGAACAAGCGTAACAGTAACCTGACCTGTCCCGGTGGTAGATGATTCTATTAGGCTGTGTGGAAAGTATTTTCTGAGAATTTTGCTATGGTCCAGATTTCTGTCGAGATTTCATGGGAGCCTCCATAGAAATACTGTAAAATCGGTTCACCAAATCGAGGGTCAATTTCAACCTTTTTCTCTCAGGCTGTGAAGCTTCAGAACGTAGTGTGCACAGAACCGCTTGTAAGGGTCTTCAGGGCAAAAGCATGACACAAGTCTTTTGAGTTCAAGCAGAGGAGCAGCTGGATTCAAACTAGTAAACGAATACATGTTGAATATGGATAGATGGTGTGGTCATTATACGGTTAGCAAGCAAGAAAGAAGTAGCCGAACAAGTTATGCGTATGCGCGTGGGTAGTTCCTTGTATAGATACCCCACAGAGACTTCCAGAAAAGTTTGAAAAAAATCTGAACCATTCCAAAATTTTCGGCAGTTGTTTTTTGCACATCCCCATAGCCACGGACCATTCAATACGTAAGGCTCAAGAGATGCAAATTTTCATTGCAAATGTCTTTCCAAAAATTTTTGGGAATTCGCTGAGTCAAATTCAGGCCGGCTTGACGAAAAAGTCATGTTTTTGTTGAAATGAATCTTCAAGATCTTCTGGTTCACTGGTTTCAAAGAGAAATAGAACACGATGAGGCAATGTTCGAAGGTGTCACATTTCATAAACGAAGCAACAACTGTGAACTCAACAGATCACATTTCAAATAGTAAAAAGATGGAAATTATAGGGCAGCATACTCTTTCTAGTTAACTTTTCGAGTTTAGAGAAACCTTACTTCGAAGTAAAAAATGCTACAGCGAGGTTTTAGTCCAGAAGAGAGGCTACGACTGAAGACGCTGTTCTATTTTGGTACGATCGATGGCGAAATCGTGCAATAGCGAACCAAATCCTTCATATCCGTGTAGTGTAAAGGTGATCTTAGTATTAGTAAAAGTAGTAAAAGTAAAGTATAAGTAAAAACTTTCAGCAAATTACCTGAAGACAGCCTGATTAGGCGCGTCCTGTGAGGAAAGATGAGCTCGCTATCAGATTTCCGTTTCAGTCCCGTTTCTTTTCTGTCTCTTTTTGGCGTCATTATGTTTCCCTTTCTGCTTTAGTCATTCTCTTATTTACCGTTTAACTAGTATTTTTCCTGACTGAACCTGGTACTTCCAATGTTTTGCGCTTTCAATCTTCTTCGCTCGTCTTTCCTCTCAGTGACAGTTCAGTCCGCAGTGTGGATCTTAAGTTCCTCCTACTTCCCTGTTCCTTTTCTCCCTCCTTATCATCCATACTTTTCCGGTGATGAGTTTCTTATTTTTGCTCGGGTTCCATAGCTTCAAAACCAAACTTTCCTTTTTCATCGATCTGCTTTTTGCCTTTGTATTTTGTCCACCGTCAAATGCGATCGCCTTGGACTAAATCCTAAGTTTGGCGCACTCCAACTGCCCCTTCTGAAAATGGGCTATGCAAATATGTAATGAGAACTTCAGTGCACTCATGTGAAAATCGCTTGAGACCCTCGAAGACCAGGATGCACGACGTAACTGGTATTGGAGACTGTTTGAAGATCTCACAACAGTGTAAATCAAAACGGGATATTCGGCTGTAATCACAGGCAATAATCAATGATAAAGGTAGAATAGACCATAAGGTGGTTTCGATGAAAACGATTAGAACAGCTTATTCTTCCCCTAGGCCTAAAAATTGAATATTAAATAAAGTAAATATGGATATAAATCTGATTTACTCTATAATTATTTAATATCTTCATTAACAGTTGGTAAAATAATGGTTTGCATAGGAACTGCAAGATAGGAATACACTATTTATATTTAAGACATCTTCTTGTAAGACAGACTCCGACTGGCTTATTTTAAACTACTATAAGTCTACTTGGACTACCAGTAGTATCAGGGGATACTGTATCTGTGGAGTTTGAGCCTTTTGAAAGTAGTCACCTCTTTTCATGAGCATCCCGTTCAAAAGAAGGATTGTTGAACCATTTCACTACAGAAGGCTAGGGTGGACTTATTCTACAAGTTCATTATAAAGCTTCATATAAAAGGATTAAAAAGATTCAAATAAATATAAATATTAACGCTATGGCATTCTATCAAGTAGAGGAAAGGCCTCATCCTTTTTGTAAAACCATGGCGGTAATTCGCGTCTCTATAAAAGCAGTAGAAAAACAGCTTCAAGGTTTGATTCCAGTGATTTCAAGTTCAGGAACAACTTCAAATGTTATCATTTCTCTGTTGACTTTCTGTGAATTAAAATGAATTCTGAGAGGTAAGCATAATAGAGCAGTGGTTACTTGTACCTTTACAGGAGTTACGTAAGCAACAACTACTGTGCATGCACAATTGATGTCAATGAAACTGTACATGATGTTTATTTTTTTATTTATCTAAGTACCTTCGTGGAAGGGCTGGCCAAAGTGTAGCCCACCATTGACTGTCTGCTTTCTCGCGAATCATTTTAATGAGTGAATTTGAAGCGTATGAAAGTGAACTGGTAAAGTGAGACGGAAAATTGGGTCATTTAGGTCCGAACAAGTAAAGAAACAGTGATCACAGTGCGATAAATTTGGTAAGGATGGACAATCGCTCAAGTTGCTGATGACGAGCTATGAATTTGATGTTTCGAGGATGTGATAGTGGCCGGTATGACCGAAATCGGGTCAAGACGAAAGTGATACTCTTGCAAATCGACTCCATGCATTCGTAGAATGAAAATCGGTCGTGCGTCGATCGTTTGACCTGTTCAGGTGGGAAGAATAGTGCGATGTAGCGCAAATGAAAGAGAGAGCCATAGGGTTTCGGATTGAACGTGACCGTTGGAGACCTTGCCGATTTATTAAAACCACATAAAAGTAAGCGGGAACGTTTAGAAATTGCTGAAGGGCATTGAATTGGAAAGAGATCTCCACTGGTTCCATCGAGTAAGTTTAATTAAGGACAGTGTCTTCGTCGTAATCAATCCCGTCTAAGGGATGCGCCCCGCATCCGAATCCCATTCAGAGCCGTAGTGGCGTAATGAATGCGTATGTGGCCTATACAATGACTTGCGGTGGCCAGCGATTTACAAGTCAGTACTTTTATCCTATCAGACGAGTCTGGTATCAATTAACCGACCCAGAAGGGATAGATGGTTTGAATAGGTTGGACAATCATTGATACGGGCTTCGATCGCTGAACCGTTCATGTGTTATGATGCGCCACTTGGCACCGCAACACCTTCTACCCAGTCATGTTGCATGTTCTTAACTATCGATCCATAATATCAAGATTTCCGAAGATTTCTTGGTAACTTAGACTTTTCTTAAGGCAAAACAGCAACAGTAAACAGTCTATTTAGAATTCTCCTTAAATCATAAATATTGGGTCCGAAGTTGTCCCCCTACACCTGGATATGAATGAAGATCGAACTGCTGGGACCACGTTCGCTCCAGGAAGTCTTACTTGTCGTACCGACGTAGTCCGTGGTTAGAGTGCATTCACGACTGCAACAGCAATAAAAGTTTAGCATGACGACGGAGCTTGGCAAGGCAAAAAGTCACCACTAAAAGTTACTCGAAACCTCGAATTATTCCGGAGAACGTTACACGTTACGTTCTACGGTACAAACGAGGCTTAGAGAATGTTCATCTACTTTGTCTTCTCCTCCCTAGCGCTAATCCCACGCCGTCGCAGGGTCCGCTGAGACCTAGGGAATTTTCATGTCTAGAATATTCACAATGACAGTTGACCTAAAAGCTTTGACCAGGCACATTTTGTGAAGAGAACTGTAGTAACAGGGTCCAGGAACCTCGGAATCAACTTGCCTAATAGAGTGGTTAGTAATACTGGTTAGTCCAGCGATAATTTTAAATGTTTCTCCCATAGGTCCGGACTTTTTGCCCCATGTCCGACCGTGTCAGCTTTGATAGCG